TTTTAAAAAAAATTTTGAACATATATATTTGATTATATTATTTTTATTATTTAAAATTTATTTCTTCAATTGCTTGTTTCTTATTAACATTCTCATATCATTAATTTTTAAATTTTATATAATTTTATTTGTTAATAAATTTGATTTTTTTATATATATGGCTTTTGAGATAAAATTTTAGAATACGATTTTTTTATTTTTAAAAATATATCATTATAATTTATATGATTGATTATTTGTATGATTTTTCAATGAAAATAACATTGTTGCATATATAAATTCAGATGTGAGAGAGAGCTAAAAATGTGTTTTAGATAATTTTACTTAATTTTTTTTAAAAAATAATCAATAATTACTATATATATATATATATATATATATATATATATATATATAGTTTTGTCATATATAAATTTTAAGGGAGAGAGAGAGAGAGCTAAAAGTGTGTTTTAGATAATTTGACTAAATTTTTTTAAAAAATAATAATCAGTTAAAAAATAGGCTCAATTATTTTTAAAAAATAATGATTAGTTAAAAAAATTCATAGGTTTTATTTGATTATATATATATTCATAATTTATCGAATCCAATTTTATAATACTTTTTATTTAAATATATTTACTTCGATATATTCCATGCGATTTAGGTGGGTTTTTTTATTTATTTTATATATTCTAAATATGCTAAGTATGATATATATATATAGAGAGAGAGAGAGTTTTGTTAGAAATTAATTATATCAAGCACACATAACACCAATTATTTGTTATTTATTTTTTTCATGTTCTAAAATCTATATTTTTAAATGAAATAATTTAATTAATATTTTGAAAGAACCTCTTAATTATTCAAATATAAATTTTTATACTAATATTATAAATTATTTTGTTAATAAATATATATATATAAATCAAATAAGTTCATTGAATATATAGATTCGATTTACATTAATCTTCATAAATAAAATATCTACTCGCATGATACCATATGAATCGTTAACCCTATGTATATAATGATTATCTTACCGCAGCAGTAGCGTGGGTATCTAACTAGTATCATAACTATACTAAGTGAGTTCGCAGTTTTCGAGTCCTAAACAAACGATACTATATAAAAAAAAAAAAAAAGTTAATTTGTAAGGAATCTATTGACTAAATTTGAAGTTAATAGACTAAAATAAAAATCATTATAAATTTTATTTCGATTAATTTTGACAAATTAATCTAAAAATATCTTTTAGAAAAACTATATATACTAATCATGCCATTATAATTTAAAAGTTATCTAAATACATTTCTCAAAAGAAAAAATAATCATGTTCTAAAAGTTTATTCTAAAATTTATAAATATAGACAAATAAATCAAAACTCGTCAGTAAATATAATTTTAAATTAATTGGATAAGAATTTTTTTAAAAAATGACAAATTAAAGTAGTAAATTTTAAATAATAAAAATAAGTAAAAAAAACACTAAAACAAAATGGGAAAAAATCACAATATAATCAAATTTTGAAATTGAAACAAAAAAGAGAATTTTTTTAAAAAATGATAATTAATGTAGTAAATTTTAAATAATATACAAAAATCTAGAAAAAAATATTTGAAAAAACACTTTTAATCTAAAAATTTATTTTAGACAAATTATATATAGTAATTATGCAACTATAATTTAAAAATTATCTAAATCTACTTTTTAAAAAAAATAATAACCATATTCTAAAAATATATTTCAGAATCCATGCATATAGAAAAATAAATTAAAACTCGTCAAGAAATATAATTTTAAATTAATTAGATGAAAATTTAAACAAATTGACAAATTAAAGTAGTAAATTTTAAATAATCAAAATAATTAACCAAAAAAACTAAAACAAAAAGGGACCAAATCACAATATAATCAAAATTTAAAATTAAAAAAAAAACAGAGAATTTATTTTAAAAAAAAGACAAATTAATGCAGTAAATTTAAAATAATATAAAAAAACCTAGAAAAAAATTATTTGAAATATAATTTTAATCTAAAAATGTATTTTAGATAAATTATATATATATTAATCATGTCACTATAATTTAAAAATTATCTAAATCTATTTCTTAAAAGGAAAAAAAATCATGTTCTAAAACTTTATTTCAAAATCCAAACATATAGAAAAATAAATCAAAAATATCAATAAATATAATTTTAAATTAATTGGATGATAATTAAAAAAAACAAATTAAAGTAGTAAATTTTAAATAATAAAAATAATTAACAAAAAACATTAAAACAAAATGGAATCAAATCACAATATAATTAAAGTTTGAATTTGAAAAAAAGAAGAAGAGAATTTAGAAAAAATAACAAATTAAAGTAGTAAATTTTAAATAATAAAAATAATTAACTAAAAATATTAAATCATAATACAAATAAAGTTTGAAATTGAAAAAAAAAAGTATAAAAACTTTGAGGACCAAATTGTTACAAAAATGATATGAATAGTGAAATGAATGTTGATTTTTTAGTACGTGAATAATGATTTATAGGTGTGTGAATAGTTTTTTAAATAGTAAAAATAAATAGTAAAATCAAGTTTTACTTTAGATTTATGTACTAGTCGTTTGCTCACGCTACACTACGAGTCCGATAGAAATAAAAATCATTTTAAAATTTTTAAAAATTTTCGTTTTTTATTTAATTAAAATTTTTAATGTTTTTTTAATAAATTTTCTGCTTAAAAAAACACAAATCATTTTTCTTTATAGGTTGATTTTAAAATAAAGAAATATAATAATTTTAACTAAAATATTAATAAAGAATTAAAAAAATTAAATATAATTTTATAATATTGTATTCCAAAAAATAAATTTATAAAAAATTAACAAATGAAAAAAAAATTCTTATTTAATGTTAATGAGAAGATTAATTTTTAAAATTATGCGTGCAATACTACAAGTAGATATAACAAAATCATTTTATGATTTTTTCATTTTTTTTATTCAATTATAACAATTTTTTCTGTGTTTTTCATATATTTTTTGCTTAGAAAAATGATTTATTCTTCTTTATTTAAGGATTCTTAAATAAAAACTTGTAATAATTTAAACCTCGAAATATTAATTAAGAATTCAAAAGCAAATACTTTAAAATTATAGATATTTTTTTATAAGAATGCATCCAAAAAATAAAGTCACAATTAAATATAAAGACTTGCATAAAAATTAATCAATGGAAAAATAAAAATTTATTCTTATTTAATGTTGGTGAGAAGATTTGTTTTTTAAATATACATATTAGATCTATATATGTTTATTTACAAAATAATCAAAACAATTAGCATAAAAAGTTATATTTTAATAATTGGTTGGTTTCATTAAAAAATTATTTTAATTATTTTATTACAAATAAATTTGTTATATAATGTTAAAAAAATATTCGTAGAAAATAATTTATATTATGTTGAAAGATGTACGAGTTAATTTTTAATGAAATCAACGATTCAATAGTTTTTTTTATATGTCTTGACCACACCTAGTGAATTGAGAAAAATTATTTAAAATATGCTTTTAACCTCTTAGAATAAAATAATTATATATTTATATATGCACAACTATCATTTAAAAATTCTAAGAATTCATGATATATATTATACTAATTTATTTTTTAAAAAAGTAAAAACAATCATGTTTTAAAATTTTATTCTAATATTCAAACATAGAGAAAAATAAATTATATTTATCGATAAATAAAATCTTATATAAAAAATATTAATTGGATGAGAATTTTCATAAAAAATGATATATTCAAATAATGAAATTTAAATGGTAAGAGTAATATAAGTCGACGTATATGTTAATTTTAAAATATTAAAAGATAGTGTGTGTGTGTGTGTGTGTGTGTGTGTTGTCTGCGTGAAAATGAAAGAAAATTGAGAATTGAGAATTGAAAAAAAAATGTTTACAACATGAGGGATGAAAAATAGAAAAAAGTGTTAAATTTATATATTAGTGCCCCAAAACGACACACAAAAATTACTTAAATTCCTATGAAGTGAATAGTAATTCTATGCATATCAATAGTGAGTGCATAGGAATTTTGGACATATGAATAGTTCGGATTTTCACGCTATGCTACGAACCAAACGAAATATATTTATTTTAGTTTGATAATGTACACTATGTTATCGATTAATTAAACTATATTAAATTAAATATAAAAGATAAAATTTCATCTAATTTTATAACTTTTAATCAATATATATATATTGAAGTAAAAAAATATGATTTGTTCTTTGTTATGCATTTATTCTTAATTAAAACCCATAATAAACAAATTTGAGTTTCTCGGTAAAACAAATTTGTAGCCACACAGAAAGCGATAAAATAGCCCACCTGATTAAATAATAAATAAATGGCAGCAACCTAAAACTTGCATGATTATCAAAAGGTGTAGTCACAGGCCAAAAGACATACCAGCAAAGGTCCATATTTTCTAGTGAGAGAAAATTTTGCAAAACAAGGTCTTTAAAAAAACCCTAACCGAATATATGGAAAAAAATATCTCACCAAGTACAACCTTTTTTAGCTTTTAGACCTTTTACTATATGTTTTTTAGTTCATATTTAGATTTTTTTCATTCTAAATTGTTTTTCAGTTCATGTTTAATGTTTTGTTCACTCTAAATAATATTGTATTTTTGTAATAATAGACCAAGCAACGCTTGGGTAATCGATTAGTTTTTTAATCTCTATTATTAAGAAATTTGACCATTTCTTTCTTTTTTTTATGTGTGTCGTAAAAAGAGGAAGGACCATTTTTAATGAACTATATATTTTTAATAAAATTAAAATATTTTGTACGTAGATCCGCAGCAACGTGCATGTGTTGGATAAGGCCCAAGTTGTCACTCACTGGGCCCTGTAAAAATTTGTGTCAAATCAAAGCCCAAAACACCACACCTTAAACCCCAAAACCCCTTCCGCATTGCCCTTGATCATTCAGCAACCAAAAACGAAAAAAACACCATGGCCAAGCGGTGGCGCGGCCTCAGGACGGCAATCCAATCGCCACAATCGGCATTATCACCACCGCAAGCATTTCATTCTCAATCTTCACGTTTCCTCGCAATCCAAGCAACACCTCGAGAGGCTGCAGGCAGCAGAGTATCAGCTAGAGACAGAGAGCAAGGTAGAATCCCCGCTGTGCTTTTCGCTCAAAGCCTTCTCGATAAAACCCATCAAGTCGATTTACCTCTGGAAAGAGATTTTTTTTTTCAGTGCTAAGTTACATATTGGATAAAATTTATAAAATCATTTAGAGAAATAATTTTAGTATGATAGTTTAATTTAAGATGTAAATCTATAAAAATATATGAAATCAAAGGTGAAAAAAATTATTTTTAATTTTTTAATAAAAAATTTTGTATTTAACTATTTCTTATTTATGTTTTTCATAATTTTTCCTTTAGAATAAATATTTACCCTTGTTAATCCATGGATTATTAACTAAAATGAAAAATAAATATTTCATAAGATTGTATTGAAAAAACATAAATAATAATTATTAAAAGCTTACAAAGAATTGAACAAATAATTATTATATTTTTTTAATATTGATGAGAATATCAGTTTTTGAAAGAAAAAATATGAATTTAATTTTTATATATTTATTTACAAAAGAATGAATAATATTAAAATAAAAAAAGCTATATTAATTTGAATCATTAAATGGTTAAGCCAAAATATTATTTTAATTATTTAATTCAAAAATAAATAAAATGTAAATGCTTAGTGTGGTAGTAGTTGTACAGTTAAATTCTAAAAAAAATGATTCAATGTTTTTTTTTATATTATAAAAAATACTAAAAGATCTAAGGAAATAACTGTTCATTTACTGTAGCTGTCTTTTTTTTTTTTTTTTTAACGTCTAGTCTTCGTTTTTTTTGCTTTCCCATTTTCTTTTTCTCTGACAAATTATATCATTACCTGAAAAAGAAAAATGTTTCTTGATTTATTTCTTTCCCTTTTTCCCCAACCTCTTGGACATGAAATGCAATATATTGTTGCAAAGTAAAGTCTTGAAAAAGTTTTGGTGAATCCAAGTAAAGTTTCCCTAGATAGTGCTGAGCTCAAACAACATGTGTTTTTGGTACGTAAACAGCATTTTCACAACTTTCAATATTGGCGAATAGATGCACTATTGTTCTTGGAGCTCAACAGGTTCAAATCAAATTGTATGTACTTTCCAATATATTTGCATGCTTGAATGATTGGCAGGAATTGACTAAAAAAACTGAGCTTAATCTTTCCTTCACGGTAGTAGTAACTTTTTTTTTTTTTTTTTAGGGCTACGCCGTTGGAACTGTTCTTCCTTTATAAATAATTTATTTTTTATTTTTTATCATGAAATTAAGTATAAAAATATATTAAATTTTTTTTTTAATTTTACGCATAATTTGACAATGATAGAATATATATCATATTTTTTAAAATTTTAGTTGGAACATATATATTTGATTATATTATTTTTATTATTTAAAATTTATTTCTTCAATTGTTTGTTTCTTATTAACATTCTCATAGAATTAATTTTTAAATTTTATATAATTTTATTTGTTAATAAATTTGATTTTTTATATATGGCTTTTGAGATAAAATTTTAGAATATGATTGTTTTATTTTTTCAAATATATCATTATAATTTATATGATTGATTATTTGTATGATTTTTCAATGAAAATAATATTGTTGCATATACAAATTCAGATGTGAGAGAGAGCTAAAAATGTGTTTTAGATAATTTTACTTAATTTTTTTTAAAAAATAATTTGACTTGGTTTTTTTTTTTAAATTAAAAATTATTTAAAAACATTCACAAGTTATATTTGGTTATATATATATATATATATAATCAAAACTTATCGAAACCAATTTTATAGTAGTTTTTATTTAAATATATTCACCTCGATATATTCCATGCAATTTAAGTGAATTTTTTAATATATTTTATATACTTTGAGGCTTTTAAGTACAATATATATATATAGTTTTGTCATATATAAATTTTAAGGGAGAGAGAGAGAGCTAAAAATGTGTTTTATATAATTTGACTAAAGTTTTTCAAAAAATAATAATCAGTTAAAAAAATAGGCTCAATTATTTTTTAAAAAATAATGATTAGTTAAAAAAATTCATAGGTTTTATTTGATTACATATATATAATCATAATTTATCAAATCCAATTTTATAGTACTTTTTATTTAAATATATTTACTTTGATATATTCCATGCGATTTAGGTGGGTTTTATTTATTTATTTTATATATTCTAAATATGCTAAGTATGATATATATATATATATATATATATATATATATATAGAGAGAGAGAGAGAGAGAGAGAGAGAGAGAGAGAGAGAGAGATTATTTATTTTTTTCATGTTCTAAAATCTGTATTTTTAAATGACATAATTTAATTAATGTTTTGAAAGAACCTCTTAATTATTCGAATATAAATTTTTATACTAATATTATAAATTATTTTGTTAATAAATATATAAATAAATCAAATAAGTTCATTGAATATATAGATTCGTTTTACATTAATCTTCACAAACAAAATATCTACTCCCATCATACTATATAAATCGTTAACCCTATGTATAGAATGATTATCTTACTACAGACGTAGCGTGGCTATCTAACTAGTATCATAACTATACTAAGTGAATTCAGAGTTTTAAGTCTAAAATAAACGATACTATAAAAAACAAAAGAAAAATTAATTTGCAAGGAATCTATTGACTAAATTTGAAGTTAATACACTAAAATAAAAATCATTATAAATTTTATTTTGATTAATTTTGACAAATTAATCTAAAAATGCATTTTAGAAAAATTATATATACTAATCATGCCACTATAATTTAAAAGTTATCTAAATACATTTTTCAAAAGAAAAAATAATCATGTTCTAAAAGTTTATTCTAAAGTTTATAAATATAGACAAATAAATCAAAACTCGCATAGAATATGATTTTAAATTAATTGGATGAGAAGTTAAAAAAAAGATAAATTAAAGTAGTAAATTTTAAATAATAAAAATAAGTAAGAAAAAACACTAAAACAAAATGGGAACAAATCACAATATAATTAAAGTTTGAAATTGAAAAAAGAAAGAAGAGAATTTTAAAAAAATGACAATTAATGTAGTAAATTTTAAATAATATAAAAAAATTGATAAAATATTATTTGAAAAACACTTTTAATCTAAAAATATATTTTAGACAAATTATATATATTAATCATACCACTATAATTTAAAAATTATCTAAACCTATTTTTTTTAAAAAATAATAACCATGTTCTAAAAATATATTCCGTAATCCATGCATATAGAAAAATAAATTAAGATTAATATAATTTTAAATTAATTAGATGAAAATTTAAAAAAATTAACAAATTAAAGTAGTAAATTTTAAATAATAAAAATAATTAACAAAAAACACTAAAACAAAATGGGACCAAATCACAATATAATCAAAATTTGAAATTAAAAAAAAAGAGACAAATTAATGCAGCAAATTTAAAATAATATAAAAAAACCTAGAAAAAAATTATTTGAAATATAATTTTAATGTAAAAATGTATTTTAGATAAATTATATATATTAATCATGTCACTATAATTTAAAAATTATGTAAATCTATTTTTTAAAAGGAAAAACTAATCATGTTCTAAAACTTTATTTCAAAATCCATACATATAGAAAAATAAATCAAAACTATCAATAAATATAATTTTAAATTAATTGGATGAGAATTAAAAAAAATTAAAGTAGTAAATTTTAAATAATAAAAATAATTAAAAAAAATATTAAAAAAAATGGGATCAAATCACAATATAATTAAAGTTTGAAATTGAAAAAAAGAAGAAGAGAATTTAAAAAAATAAAAAATTAAAGTATTAAATTTTAAATAATAAAAATAATTAACTAAAAACACTAAATTATAATACAATTAAAGTTTGAAATTAAAAAAAAAAGTATAAAACATTTGAGGACCAAATTGTTACAAAAACAATATGAATAGTGAAAGGAATGGTGATTTGTGAGTGTTTGAATAGTGATTTATAAGTGTGTGAATAGTTTTTTAAATAGTAAAAATGAAGAGTAAAATCAAGTTTTACTTTAGATTTATGTACTAGTCGCTTGCTCGGGCTACACTACGAGTTCAGTAGAAAAAAAATCATTTTAAAATTTTTAAAATTTTTGTTATCATTTTTTATTTAATTAAAATTTTTAATGTTTTTTAAATAAATTTTCTCGTTTAAAAAAACACAAATCATTCTTCTTTATAGATTGATTTTAAAATAAACAAATATAATAATTTTAACTAAAATATTAATAAAGAATTAAAAAAATTTAAATATAATTTTTATAATATTATATTCTAAAAAATAAATTTATAAAAAAATTAACAAATGAAAAAAAATTCTTATTTAATGTTAATGAGAAGAATAATTTTTAAAATTTGCGTACAATACTATAGGTAGATAAAACAAAATCATTTAAAATATACACATTAGATCTATATATGTTTATTTACAAAATAATCAAAAAAAATAGCATAAAAAGTTATATTTGAATAATTGGTCGGTTCCTTTAAAAAATTATTTTTAATTATTTTATTAAAAATAAATTTGTTATATAATGTTAAAAAAATATTCATAGAAAATAATTTATATTATGTTGGAAGATGTACGATTAATTTTTAATGAAATCAACGATTCAATAGTTTTTTTTTTATATGTCTTGACCACACCTAGTAAACCGAGACAAATTATTTAAAATATGCTTTTAACCTCTTAGAATAAAATAATTATACATTTATATATGGATAACTATCATTTAAAAATTTTAAGAATTCATGATATATATATATATATTATACTAATTTATTTTTAAAAAAAACAATCATGTTTTAAAATTTTATTCTAAAATTCAAATATAGAGAAAAATAAATTATATTTATCAGTAAATAAAATTTTATATAAAAAATATTAATTGGATGAGAATTTTCATAACTTAAGTTCATTTTCAATCTTTGGTAAGTTAATGTGTAATTTTAATACTTTGAAGTTGTTTTTTTTCTTTTATTGATTTGGTGCGGTTTTGTGTTTTTCGGATTGTGTTACATAGGGAAGATATTGAATTTGGTGTTTGCTTTGGCTGATGATGGAACGGAAATGAAAGTTGACGTGCCTGTTGTTCTCGAAGGAGAAGAAAATTGTCCCGGTCTTAAGAAAAGTAAACATGCATTACTTCATGTTGAGATGTGAATTAATAAATTACGTAGATGATTTCTTCGTGTTTTTTTTATTGATTGTGTTATAGATACATAGGGATGAAAAGACAGGGAAGATATTGAATTTGGTGTTTGCTTGGGCTGATGATGGAACGGAAATGCAAGTTGACGTGCCTGTTGTTCTCAAAGGAGAAGAAAATTGTCCCGGTCTTAAGAAAGGTAAACTCATTTTTCTTGATTTATTTTTTGTGGGGTTTCCAAATTGTTGAAGTGATGGAAAATTGATAACTTTCAGACTTTGTAACATTATGTAGTTAGGGGATGAGACTGCTCCTCTCTCTCTCCAAAATTAAGGAAAACAAGTATCAAACTTGAAGTAGTGCACGTACTTGTGACGGCAGCATTGACCAAATGCCCACACCAAGCCAAATGCAAGGTTGCCACTACCACTACTTTTCTTGAAAACTTCCATGTCGTTTGGATTTTGAAAAAAATATCGAAACAATATTCACTATTATTAGTCATAAACGGAGTTATGAATATGGGAACCTTAGGGTACATGGCCATAAACCTTCAAGCATTTCAAGTGAGATACGCAAGTCCTTTTGTTGTCGGAATGATCCTCCGACCAAGACCGCGCATTAGGATTCGCGCTTATCTTCTTAAGTAGTTGGCTGATTGGAACCATCAAAATGTGCAAAAGGACAAAAAAACGTTTTTTTGTCCTTTTTATCCCCTTGAATCTACCGCCATCACAGGATGTCAAGGGTGGAGAATAAGCCATTGGATAACATAACATGATATACGGTATTCTTTTATATATATAATAATAATAAGGAACAGTGAGCGTAACTCATTATTCTATTAGCCTAATAAATTAGTGAAATGTTCCAAATAAAAAAGAAAAATGATAGACTGAAATTATGTTAACAAATGAATAATGTAAATATATTCTCCATGAGTGAAAAAAATATAAAAATTGTACAAAAAAATTATATATATTAAAAAAAAATTGGATATAAGTCTTAACATTGTGTAATTACATAAATTACTATGAAAACATTTTATATATATAACAGTGGATATAAGTCTTAACATTGTGTAATCAATTTCTCTAGCTAGCTATGTGAGACAGATGCAATGAAAGGAGAAAATCCAAGCCACTTGCTCACTTTGTTGCCTTGTCAATTTTCTCTGGAATGCAATCAAAATTCCCACTCAAGAAATAGACAAGGACATTCCCATTATCACAAAGGAAGTGCCACAATCGATCAATTAGAATCGGAGTTTTTTTATTTTTCTTGGTCATAAGCTTTCTCAGAGTTTTTTTTATTTTTCTTGGTCATAAGTTTTTTTATTTTTCTCTGGAATGCAATCAGATTTTGTGATAGTATTTATAAAATTTATTTAATTTTTTTAGAGTATTAGATCGATGTAAAAAATTATTTTTAAAATCATCTTAAAATAAACTTTATTTTAATTGAATCATAAATTGATTTAAGATATTTTTATTGACAAATTAAAAAAAGAAAAATAAAAGAGAGAGAAAGTCCACCACTTTTCTTGAAAACTTCCGTGTTGTTTGGGTTTCGAAAACATCCTTTTCGGTTGCAAAATGCCAAACAAAATTCATTACTATTAGTCATAACGTGAAAAGAGTTTAGAAGTAGGACCATAAACCGCCTTTCTCAGAGACCCTCTTATGAAAACATGCCAGGTCTACCGTTTGTCGAGAAAAAGAACGGCGTGTTGGGATTCGCGCTTCTATTCTTAAGTGTTTGGCTGATTGGATCCACCAACAAGTAAAAAAAACACATACGTCTACTTGAATCTACGGCCATCGCAGGATACCAAGGGTGGAGAATAAGCCATTGGATATCATAACATAATATATACAGTATTCTTTTGTTGCTCATCCTTTGATCTAAGATGGTTTAAAAAATTTTGGAAATGTAAATTACAAATTAATTCCTTTTGTAGTGATTGGTGCGTTTATTATGCAGTGAAACACAACTAATTTTTAAAAAGTTGTCAAAAAAAATATGATTTTTTTTGTTAGAATTAAAATAAATGGTTCTTGAACCATCGGTTTCGGTTTAGGAACCGCCGGTTAAGGTTTCACCAAAAGGTGAAACCTTAACCAAACCTTCTATGGACGGTTTCGGTTTCGGTTTGAAACCGTAAAACCGACGGTTCAATTATTTTTTTATTAAATGAAAAAATAAAAAAAATCGAATATTTTTTCTCAACATTAACATTGAAACGAAAAAACTTCTTTTTTGCATGATGTATAAATATTGTAATATTTTTTTACATTATAATGTATTTCACACAATAAATCAAAGGAAAAAAATAAATAAATAAAGAAGGGCTTGAACTTAATTTTTGTAAACACTACAAAAATTAAGCTTCCTACGTATCCTCTTGGGGTTTAGAGAATCAAAGCTTACGTAGTTCTCTTTTACATTTCAAATTACCCATTTACAAATTATATCTATGTTCTATATAGTTGTGCCTAGTTACTTTCTTGACCGGAAGTTTCGGCTTCGAAGTTTCTATTATTGTGCCGTCCGGTGTTAAATCCATGCTTTCTTCATTGAAATCATATTGTTTTTATTTTTGTGTTCTCTTGTCGGCTCTTATCCAATCATCCACGCATACTTGGGCTTCAAGTGACTCGGGAGCTAATTGTGATCGCCTATCATCCAAAATATTACCTTCGGAGCTAAATGCTCTTTCAACGACCGTTGTTGAAGCCGGCACATCAAGTATTTGTCTAACTATTATGGACGGGACTAGAAAGGTGTCTCGCATGTCTTTTCCACCAATCAATTACTTCAAAATCTACACTCGCATTGCTATCACCAAACTCAAACACAGCTTGTTAGATAAATATTAAGCTCGGAAGTGGAGTCCGATGATCCTCTTTTCCTTTTTATCCTTTCCATGACCATAAGATAATCGGCTCTAACACGTTGGCTACTTGATGATGATTGTGGCACATGTGGTAAAGAGGAACTAGCATGTTGATCACCCACGAGTTAAAGACATTTCAATATATAAATCTCTAACATGTTTTATAATAGAAGCAGTTTCTATTTCTACATTTTTATCAAATAATTACAAATACTCATAGTAAGTATTCAAAACAACAGAAAGACCTTCCATTTTAAATCTAGGATCAAAGACTAAAGCAACAAGATAAATAGGTGGAATTGTTTCATAATAACTTAACCATTTTTGTTTCATTATTTGAACAACGAGCATGTAAAGTTGGCATATCTTGTTCTATATGATAAAAAGCTTCAACAATATTAATTGCTTCAATCATAAATAAATGTGAAGTTGGTTGATAAACGGCACTAAAAGTGTATGTTGCATTGTTAAAAACACTTAAAAGTTCCAAAAGTGTTTCGCAAATATCAAAATCAATTTGACAAATAAAAACAGAATCAATATTTTCCGAAAAAAATGAGCATAATAAATCTCGATATTCAAATGACTCGCCTAAGTAAGCCATAAGTTAAATTCCAACGAGTTGGAACATCTTTTAAAAATCGTCTTAGTTTTTTGTTTCTTTCTTTGCAAAACTTTCCCCATGATTTCATCTTTTGGGGATGCGTCCATAAATATTTAGCAAGAGCTTTAATTGGCCTAACAATTTCTTTAAGATATTCCAAACCAAATTGCACACATAAATTTAAAACATGACATACGCATCTAATATGGAAAAACTTACCTCCAAGATGGGGTTGACAAAGTTCTCTTAAAGACTCTACTGAAGCATCATTAGAACTAGCATTATCAAAAGAAATTGAAAATATTCTTAAAGGTAAAACATATTCATCTAAAATCTTTTTTAGTATTTTATATATATTTTGAGCGGTATGTTTATCATCAAAAAATCTATATGCAAGAAGACGTTTTTGCATGTGCCATTCATTATCAATCCAATAACAAGTTACACCCATAAAAGAGTGAGTTTGCCATTGATCGGACCATATATCGAACATATAGAAATACGACCATTCAAATTTGTAAATAATACGGTTAATTCTCTTTTTTTATCTCTATATAATTTTATAACTATTTTTTTTAAAGAATGTCTTTCAACTTGTTTGAAAGTAGGATTCAAAGCGTTAGAACAATAATCACTAAAACTCATTTTTTGACCAAAACTAAAAGATAAATGATCAACACATATTATTTTAGTCATTTCTTCTTTATTTTTTTTATCAGTATATTGAAATAAAGAGGAAGATTGAGAAGCAAACCGGGATATTTGTGTCCGATGTCTATCATTACCAAGTACGGATGGATGCTTTTTCTCCAAATGGGTTTTGAATGTTCCATAACCACCTCCTTGTTTGAATGTGTATTGCTTGTTGCAGTAGTTGTAAATTATAGTAAAAATGCCTTTTTCTAACGAAACTTTTGAGAAATGAATTTTGAAGATGTCGGATGATCTAGGTTTAAAATTTGATTGTTGTTGTTGCTCCCCTGCTCGATTTTGATTGGCGTATTACTTTGTTGTGATGGCATATATGAACTTGAACTTGCCATTTTTTGTAGTATAAAACAATAGAAATGTAAAAATTTAAGAAGTATTTGGAGTATAAAAAATATTATAGGATAATATTGAGAATTCTAGACTTAAGAGTTTAAAAGACTAAGAGAGAATGAGAGATTGAGTTGTGAGAAGAATAAAAAAAATTGAGAATGAGAAGGTATTTATAGAAAAGAATAGAAAAAAAAACGGTGACAAATGTTTATGACCGTTTTATAAACGGTCACATTTTTGTGACCGTTTGTCACACACACACACACACACACACACACACACACACACACACACACACACACACACACACACACACACACACACACACATATATATATATATATATATATATATATATATATATATATATATATATATATATATTATTGTATTATTATTATTATATATAGATCTCCATATGTTGTTGGGTCCCAACATATTTTCAAAATCTCTTATTTTCTAATCAAAATATTCCGCTTTCATAAAATCTATTTTCACAATCGTTTTTCAATATTCTTGACTTGAGAATGTCCGCACAACAGTCTTGATGGCCAAGAAAAACAAAGGAAAAAACCCCTCATACCGTAAAGCCCAAAACCCTTATCGACAGCAAAACCCATCTCTTGGCGGATGTCGTAGAAAAACAGGAACCACAAACTCCAATCCAAAGCCTAATCAGTTGAAAATTGGGTCCAAAATCCGACAAAACAGACCGAGCTCCTTTTGGCCCCGAAAAAATCTCGGGTATGAATCTTGAACCTATTTCAAAACCGGAGAAAGGTTCTTCTTCTTCAAAAAAACACTTTCTCTAAAACCAAGTGATTCTTCAAAACTTATTTCGCAACATGTTACTTCACAAAACACTCGAGTGATTGTTTCCTCAAAACCTATTTACAAAAAATCCACGTCCGAGTATTTTCTCAAAAAGATTTTCAAAAAATTTTTACTCGTCGAAGATGGCTACTTTTTTACAAACCCTATAGAATTGTTCAAAAGTTCTTTCCTCCTGGATGGCACTTCACCCCATGGGACTTATCCAAAAACCAAGACTACTACATGACCATCCTAGAACAAACAAAATCAGCCACCTTCAAACACTTCCTTACCCC